GGGTTGGGAGTGGGATCAATGACCTCACTTCCCTCAGTTACCTCAGCAAGTACAGGGGGACAGCATAGACTGTTGGGACTCCCCAAGAGGGAGGCTTCTCTCCTCATCAGCCCACTCTGGGTGACAGGCCACTGCCAGGATCCCCGCCCCCATCCTGCATTTTTGTTCTACCTTCCTCACAGTAGCCTCTTTTACAGGCTTCCATTTCTTGGTAACCCATTGGGGTTGGGCTGCCCTTGTCTGGGACCCTTGGTTCCGTGTTCAGGCAGCCCCACTGTTTTAGGAGAAGCTCACCCTCATTGCATCCTTTTAGCCCTGGTTCCTGAGCTGGCCCCGCCCTTCACGAGTCCCCGCCCATCACGCTTTGGCTACGCCCATGCTCACCCCCGCCCCGCCCCCTCTCCACAGGTGGTCAGCCTGGCGCACAATCTCATCTATTTCGGCTTCTACAGCTTCAGCGAGCTGCTGCGGCTCACTCGCACCCTGCTCAGCATCATCGACTGTGTGCAGGGTCCCCCGGCCATGCTGCAGGCCTATGAGGACTCAGGCGGTGAGGCTTTGAGGCCATCCACCACCCACCCTCAGTTCCTCAGTCTCCTTTTAGCACCGGAGGCCCTCTCTGATCAATCCCCCTGTACAGCTTGCCTCCTGGCTCTGCTGCAAGGGGGTGTCTTTCTGCCCAATCCCCTTCAACCTCAGCTGGACTAGCAGGGCTCCCTGCCCAGGCACTGTGGTAACCCCAGGGTCTGGGGGAGATGCCTTCCAATACAACTTGGTCTTGAGGGAGTAATGAGAAAGAAGGGGAGACACAGGCCATGCCTGGGGAGCTGCCAGTCAGATGGGGGGACACAGCCCTGCCATTGAGGAGTGTGGCGAGGAGGGAGGGCAGGCTGAGGGATGAGTCACAGCCCTGCCATTAGGGATATCCCCAGGTGGCATAAACTGAGCTAAACAGAAAGTGCAGAGACTGACACCTGGTTTTTAGTGCTCTACACCCTGAGCTCCCTGTGCTTTGTAGCAGCTCTCACGGTTTCCTACATGGGAATTCTCACTGATGTCCCCACACGGTTCACCTTTGCCCTGGCCCTCCCTTTTCCTAGATTTGGCTTAAAGCTCACCTCCCCCAGGAAGCCTTCCTAGGTTAGTTAGCCTTGCCCTTTCCTTAACATGGCTTTGCCCTGCAGTTAGTCGATGGAGACAGTTAGACCAGGGGCCCCTACTGTGCACCCTCTGACACCCCTCTGTTCCCCACCCCTCAGGCAAGAACGTGCGGCGGTCCATCCAGGGCGTGGGCCACATGATGTCCACCATGGTGCTGAATCGCAAGCAGTCTGTCTTTGGCGCATCCAGCCTTCCTGCTGGTGCCGGGGCTGCTGAGCCGCTGGACAGAAGCAAGTTTGAGGACAATGAAGACATTGTGGTGATGGAGACCAAGCTGAAGATCCTGGAAATCCTGCAGGTGGCCAGGCCAGGAGCATGGTGGGAGGTGTTGGCAATAGGGCAGGAGAGTGGGGGCAGGTATGGGGCGGTTGGGTTGGGGTGACCCGCTTAGATCACAGTATCTAGTAATGGGAGGCTCCACAGTGATTGGCTGTGTAGCTCAGTGGTTCTCACAAAGTGTGGTTCTCAGACTAGCAGCATCAGTCTCACCTGGGGCCTTAGAAATTCACATTCTTGGGCCCCACCCCAGACTTATGGACCACAAACACTGGAGAAGGGGCCCACGGTCTGCTGTGACAAGCCCTCCTAGTGATTCAGGTGTGCACTAAAGCCTGGCTCCATCCCCCCACTGCACAGATGAGGATAGGAACGGGGAGGGGACTTTCTTGTGGTCACACAGATTTTGAAGCACAGCTAGAGATTTGGGAGCCAGTTTCCTGGCAGGGCAGACAGTCTTCTGTCTTCTGGGTTTCGTCTGAGACGCCCCGCAGCCCTTGGGGAAGGGGTTGGTAAGGCCCTGAGAAGGGATAAGGACCCTTGCTTTTGCTTTGCTGCTCCCACAGGACAGGTAGGGTAATGCAGTGACCTCCACTGGACTCAGTGTGGTCAAGGCCTGGTCAGGGGAGTCAGAGGCGGGGGCTTGTGGTTCGTTCCTGGGCCTGGGGCGTCCAGATCTGATTTCTGGGCTGTGGCCAGAAGCTCTGTGCCCCATGAGGATGTGTGCAGACCCTGTGTCCTCACCCCCTACCCCAAAGTGGCCTCTACTGCTTCTTCACAGTCCTTGGTTTCTCTCCACCCGCCCCAGGAGCCCCAGGGTTTGTTTGGCAGAGCAGGATAGGAGTACAAGAATGGCCTTTGGACCTAGCGGTCCTCATTCCCTTTCCTGTCAGCGTCCAGCCTGGGAAAGACAGGCTGAGTGGTCTGGGGTGGGAGTGTCTTGCCTCATTCCAGAGGAGGCACAGGAGCTGGGGAGAGGGCGCCCTGGAGCTCCCTAAGGAAAGGGTCTTGATTGCTGCTGTTGTGATGTCCTGGAGCATTTCCGGAGAGCTGTGCTGAGACCCCTGAATGCTGGAGCTCATTCGGGGTACCTGTCACCCCTTTGGGAGCGGGATTGGCCTCCTGTCCTCACACCGTCCTCTCCCCGCTTCTCCAGTTCATTCTCAATGTCCGCCTGGATTACCGCATCTCCTACCTGCTATCCGTCTTCAAGAAGGAGTTTGTGGAGGTGTTTCCCATGCAGGACAGTGGGGCCGACGGCACCGCCCCTGCCTTCGACTCCACCAGTGAGCCCTCCCCCTGCCTTCACCCCACCTCAGGCTGAGGCTGACTTGCCCAGGGGTTCACAGCAGTGGGTGGAGCCTGGGGGACATTGGGGGCCAGCTCCCCAGCCTGCCCCTGTTTCCCAACCTCCAGTGGACTTAATCCTCCATTGTCTTGTTTAATTGCTGCAGTGAGGGGGAAGGGCAGGGATCATTCTCTCCACTTACTAAATGGGGAAACTGAGACCCATAGAGGGGTAGGGGCTTGCCCAAGGCCACAGCCAGTCAGAGGCTGAGCCAGACCAGGACCCTCAGGGCAGAAGTCTGCTTGCCCCTGCCGGGCAGTGGGGCTGCCCTGGTTGGTTCCACCTCAACCCCAGGAAGGGGCAGGCAGGGGGCTGCCGCCCAACCAGGTGGGGGAGTGGGTAGTTTGGGTGTCTCCCTGCTCCTTCACCTCTGTGCTCACCATCGTTCCTGCTCATGGACCCCACCTGCCCCCATCTGCCCCTTTTGCTCCCCACAGCTGCCAACATGAACCTGGATCGCATCGGGGAGCAGGCGGAGGCCATGTTTGGAGTGGGGTAAGGCCAGGGTTGAGGTGGGGGTTGTGTGTGGGGTTACGTGGGTGATGCCAACACAGGCTTGAGACCCCTCGGACTGGTCTGCATTTCCCAAGGCTGGGGCTGGCCTCTCCCTCCTCTGTCATTCCCCCTGCAGCTCCTTACCAGGCTCTGGGGCAGGGGACCCTTGTCTGTCCCCTGTGTCATCATGGTCATTCCCCTGCCTCTGTGCACAGCAGTTGTGCCTCTGTGCACCAGGACTTGGCCAGGTAGTTGGCAGGAAGTCTCCTGCCACCCCCTGCCCCCAGGGATGTGCAGCCTGCTCTATAGAGGGCTAGCAAGGGGAGGGGGCTCACCTTCGAGGTGGGCTGGGGCTTAGTGGGCNCTGGCCTGCCCACTCCCTCACTCGTGCTTTTACTCGGCCAGCAAGTATTTACTGAGGCACACACTGTGTGCCAGGCACTGTTTTAGGCGCTGGGAACATGGTAGGGACCTAGACAGTCAGGCCGGCTTCGTGGGTGTGTCACATGGCTCCACACCCAGAAGGGCCCTGTGCTGGGTTCCGTGCTCTGGTGCCATCTTGATATTCTTAATTTTTGAACAAGGATCCTGCTGCTTCATTTTTTACCGGGCCCCACAGATTACATAGCTAATCCTGCCAGATAGATACGGTCCCTCTCTCATGGTGGTTTCACTCTGGTAGAGAGACAGACCTCGCGCCAAATAACTGTACTGTATAAATCTGCTCTTCTGCCCAGTGTGGGCTTCCTCCCCTGGACCCCCACTTTTTGTAGGGTTGGGGCCCCTTGCTGGTGTCAGGCCCCTGACTTGGGGTCTGGGGCAGTGCTGTGGAACAGAGCTGCACCCCATGACCCGCAGCCTGTCTGCCCCCCAGGAGCACATTGCCAAGCAGTTTGGGATGATGCAGTCCCAGATCGGTTATGACATCCTGGCCGAAGACACCATCACCGCCCTGCTGCACAACAACCGCAAGCTCCTGGAGAAGCACATTACCAAGACTGAGGTGGAGACCTTCGTCAGCCTGGTGCGGAAGAACCGGGAGCCCAGGTGGGCCCGCCGCCCTCCCCTCCTGCACACGCTCCCTCCTCCCTTCACCCCTGCTCAGGGTAGAAAGTTTGCCACTGCTGGTTGTTCAAGTATTGAAATACTTCTGCCTCTGTTGGTAAATTGCCACCTCTTGGAGGCCCCGGCCTCCCAGCCCCTCCCTGGGCCTCCTCCCAAATAGGGCCCAATCTAGCAACAAGAGGGCTGACACCTGGTACAGTAGGGCCCTCAGACCCTTCTCTGGTGACAATGTCAGTGCCTGTTTTAAATCAGTTGTTCAATATTTTGAATATCACTCCTGTCCTTGTGCCTCCTTTATCCTGACCCCCCTGGACCCCCTGCTGTAGGGTGGTCTCCATGGACTGTCCCCAGCAGTGCATCTTCAAGCTTTGGGGAGGGAGCAGGTCCAGGGAGCCTGTGTTGCCAGCTGGGGATGGGGGAGGGTGGGCTTCGTCCTCTGGGGCCAGCCTCTGAGCCCCTTCCCCCACCCGTTTTCACCACCCCAGGTTTCTGGACTACCTCTCCGACCTCTGTGTGTCCAATCACATTGCCATCCCCGTCACCCAGGAGCTCATCTGCAAGTGTGTGCTGGACCCCAAGAACAGTGACATTCTCATCCAGACCGAGTGAGCAAGCGTGATGTCTCCCACCTACACGCAGTGCCCTACACCCAGGGCTGCACCCTGCCTGGCTGCCCAGCTGACTCAGCTTGGGTCCCGTCTGGGTTCAGGCTAGAACTGGCACCTGTGCTCTCTGCAGATACGTACCCAGTACCTGCTGTATGTCTACCTCTGTGCTGGCACTATTGGTGGCGGGGGGGAGTCGAGGGGGACATAGGAGAATGAGCCAAGGTCCCTGCCTTGAGAAGCTCAGGGTCTTTTTGGGGTCTCAAGCTGGAGGCGGGTCCCCCATGGAGGCAGCATGGGGGCCTGACTGGCTCTGAGCCGTGCTGTGGGAGGAGAGGACTGTGTGGCCAGGCCTGCTCGGGGAGGGCTCTGGTGTGCAGTCCTGCCCTGGCCCCTGCGCCCTGTGATGGATGGCGTTGGTCTGCAGGCTTCGGCCGGTGAAGGAGATGGCCCAGTCCCACGAGTACCTGACCATCGAGTACTCAGAGGAGGAAGTGTGGCTCACTTGGACCGACAAGAATAACGAGCACCATGAGAAGAGCGTGAGGCAGCTGGCCCAGGAGGCGCGGGCCGGCAATGCCCACGACGAGAACGTGCTCAGCTACTATAGGTACCCCTGCCCCAGCTCCTCTCCCCCCAGTGCGTCTGTGACCTTTGGCCTTCTCAGGAGGCCTTCGGCCAGTCCCTGCTGAAGGATGAGCTCCCACAGCTTCAGGGGGCCTCCTGCCTCCACTTGCCCGCAGCGCAGCCGTCGTAGGGAAGCTAAGTGTAGCCTGAGGAGCACTGGGTGGCCTTGAGACCAGGCTCCGCTCAGTGATAGGCCTGGAGGAAACCCAAACCAGTCTCCACACATACATTTTAAAAACAAGAATACTAGATAACCCTTGTCAAATGCTCACTATATACCAGGCACTGTTCTAAGCCCTTCACTCCATCTCACAGCCACCCTGTGAGTTAGGGACTATCATTACCCTCATTGTGAAGTGGGGGAGACAGGCACAGAGAAGTAAAGGAACTTGCCCAAGGTTATGTAGCTGTACGTGGTGAGCCACGGTTCAAACCCAGTCCGTCTGGCTCCGGAGCCATGGTGGGTAATGCAGGGCTGAGGGGGAAGCAGAGGGCATGACATCACCCGGTGTAGAACAAAGCTTCCTACATTCCGCATTTTTGCAGTTCTTCCATCACTGTCTCCCACTTTTCACTGGCTGCTCCCCCTCCCCCACTCTCTTTCCCAGTCTTGCACTCACGCCCTGCCTGAGGCTGGTTCCTCTCACCACACGCTTCATGTCCCAGCCTTTTTCTAAGCCATCCCTCTTCCCACGAAGACCTGTCCTGGCTGAGTCAGAAAGCGTTTTCATCCTTAGCAAGTTGGGGGAGATTTGCAAATACTCATAAATTCAGACTTTTTTCTTGTACATCTCTTACTCTAGAATTGTGTCCTTTGAATGACAGTGGCCGGTGCATGGTTTAACCTAGGTCCTGCTGCCACTGTCTTGCATCCTCAAGTCCAGCAGTCCTCATTGCCCACCTGCCATGTTCTCACCAGCCTCCCTGCCCCACAGGTACCAGCTGAAGCTCTTTGCCCGCATGTGCCTGGATCGGCAGTACCTGGCCATCGACGAGATCTCCCAGCAGCTGGGCGTTGACTTGATCTTTCTGTGCATGGCAGACGAGATGCTGCCCTTTGACCTGCGTGCCTCCTTCTGCCACCTGATGCTGCACGTGCACGTGGATCGCGACCCCCAGGAGCTGGTCACACCTGTCAAGTTTGCCCGCCTCTGGACTGAGATCCCCACAGCCATCACCATCAAGGAGTGAGAGGGGTGGGAGAGGGTGGGCCAGACAAAGTTGGGGTGGGAGGATCTCAGGGACCCTCACACCTCACTGCCTCCACCCCAGCTATGATTCCAACCTCAACGCCGCCCGAGATGACAAGAAGAACAAGTTTGCCAGCACCATGGAGTTCGTGGAGGACTATCTCAACAACGTGGTCAGCGAGGCTGTGCCCTTTGCCAATGAGGAGAAAAATAAGCTCACCTTCGAGGTGGGCTGGGGCTTAGTGGGCTCTGGCTAGCTCCCTCACTGGTCCTCAGTTGCTCCCA